GATTGTCATAATCTGTCCAATCGCAAATAATCTGAAATTAAGCATTACGATATCACATTAACAAATAAACCACGGATGTTCACATTATCATACCGAAATAAGGTTTCCATAAGGATTATTCGACATTTCTTAGATCTGAAATCAATTTCATGGATATGTATGGAAATTCGTAGATACACTCGAAAAAAGTGGGCAAAGGTGACCAAGCGACTTTAAATTATTACTTCGATTGAAATATGTTCAACTAATGTTTGGGCACATCCTGCTAAAGTTATTCACAATAAAAATCACCTGCAACTAATCGCAAATCTAATCTATCACTTTTTCCTCTTTCTCTTCTTTCCAGAGTAACTTATGTTTCTCAGCACTTTAAATATTTGGAGTTTATACGAAATTTCAAATACCTGCAAGCAATGAGCTAGGTTACAGAAGGCATCAGGAAAATCAGGCTTTAGCTTGAGTGCTGTTGAATAGCTCTGAATCGCTTCAGGAATATTTCCAGAATCCTAGAAAGAAGAAGAAACAGAAACGGGAAAATTAGTAAAGTTCAACAATTAATAATGAGTAACTAAGAAATTACGGAAACCGCTCACTTTATGTATGCTAGCCAAATTACTATGCGCATCGGCGAATCCAGGATTGATCTGAATGGCACGAGTATAACATTGTAATGCTCCGCCAACATCACCCATTTCTTTCAATGTATTTCCCATATTTGAATATGCATCAGCAAATGTAGGTGCTATACGAATTGCCTCCTTATAATGATTTATTGCATCTTGGAGTTTGCCTTGTTGTTGCAGTATTGATGCAAGATTGCTGTGTGCAGCAGCAAATTCAGGATAAATCTAAGAAACATTAATGAGAGTGGATAATTCCAGAATAATTCCTGCTTCAAAAAAGTTTTGAAACTTCTTAATATACTGATAATTATTTTAATATACTTGGTACCAAAAAGAAGTTGATAAACTGGTTCATTGTAAAAGAGTTTTCAGAGAATTTCGGAAATTAATTCATCGAAAAAATTCTTTTAATCTTAAAAATTCCTGTTCTACGGATAAAGAACTTTAATACTGTAGTCCCTGTAAAATTATTAAGAAAGCCTTCGACTGAACAAAAAAATTAGAAGTTAAGTGTGTAATAATATATACCTCCAATGCTTTTAAATAAAGCCTTGTAGCATCTTCAATCTTTCCTTGTTCTCTTTTGATATTTGCCAAATTATTCTGTGAATCAGCGTGCGTTGGGCAAAGCTAGAAATTGCATTGAAATATTTCATTATCATTTTTTCTATTAAATCATCAAACATTGCAGACTTCAACAACACATGTTCCAAAAATAGGAATGAATGCAAGCATCCTAGAAGACATAAAATAGTCTCAGAAGAAAGCATACGTGATAGCAGATAAACTTATATTGAACACTTTTATGATAACACAAAATATACCACTCCAAAAATTAAACAATAAATAATTTTTTCCTCTCTAAAATTATTGATAAATTAATATCAAATTCTACCTGTAATGCTTTATTGTATGCAGCTTCTGCTTCCGACACCAAACCTTTTTCCTTTAAAGCATTCGCCAAATTGCAATACGCATCGGGGAAATTCGGTTGCAAATCGATGGCTTTTCGGTACATATCAATAGCCAAATCGATAAGCCTAAAATAAAATTTTCGTAGTGTGAATGATTAAATGAAATAAAAAGTAAATTGCTATTTATTTCATCCAATACAAAAAAATCTTCAAAATACCAAAAATTGATAAGTAAAGTCTTTGTCAAGTTCACTCTAATAAAACAATTTATGATTAACAATGTATATGATTTCGTCATCCAACAATATTATAGAAAATAGTGCTAAAGATTTCAAATACTATTCCTTTTCCATTTCTATCTTTCAAAATGTCGAAAATTATTGAATACAAAATTCGCAAATTTAGAAGATTTATTTGCATCGCTTCATACCAGCTGCAGTATTTTCCATTACTATGCAATTCGTTCATAAAAAATAATACATTATACTATTTGCTAATGCAAATAGGTTATTTTAAAGAATAAACTAACCAATCTTATCAATTTAGAATCTAAAAGAAACACTCACCCTTGTTCGTAATAAACACATGCTAGATTTCCATGGACAACAGCATGATTTCCGGCCAAATTTAATGCACGTAAATAAGCGGCAACTGCTCTAAAATAATTTGTTGTATGAAAATAAACCATTGGAACTTTTAAAATATGCACTGATCTTATCCACATTTCACAACTTCAGGAAATGAATAAGAATATGACAACTAGATTTCTTAGGAATATGATATTGCAGTTGAATGAAGCATTTTGTTAATAAGGAGAAAATATGCTTTCAGAAAAAAGCATTCCAATTAACCGGTGGTAACTTTAAGTAAGTGTCAATAGCCAATAACCGATAATGTTTTGTGAATAAATTAGACAGCGTTTATAAAATAACTTCGTATTTCGAGAAATCAACATCGATAAAAATCATGGGCGTGTAACCAACAACGACATAATCCCGGAAGTTACGAAGAAGTTATGTAAAAAGCAAAATGAAATTGTATTTACAAAATTCTCTCATCAAGTCATTACGCGTAGGTATGGAGAATTTCATTGTTCAACTATCAGCTTTATATCTAATCATAATGTACATCGATATGACCATAGAATCTGCTGAATTAATTTAATTTTCCCTAAGCTAATTTAGCTTAAAAGAACTAAATCTGTCAACACTTATGTAACACTTTTTTTGGTAACATTATAAATTACAGAGTTATTCTAAGATGCGATGCAAAGGACATTACAAAAGATACTTAGAAAAGTTGGTATTTTTCAGGAAAAAGAACAAAATATTTTGCTTGTATCAATTTGAACGAGTTAAAAGTTAACCACAAATGTAATCTAGTAAGAATTCTTTGGTTAAATTTAAACATAACCAAATCTATAAGTCTTTAAAAACTAAAATTGAAAATTTGTTCTAAAAGGTAAGAATCAATCCAATAACATATCTAGATAGTTACTATCAAATTACTTGTCTTTTCCAATTTTATGTTATTTAATATGAGTTACGTAACGCCTATTTTAATTATTTATTTTTAAAAGGTAATACAGTTTAAAATAAAAATCAGAAAATCAATACGTCAAGTGATTTCATGTTTTTTCGTTTCTTCCCTCTGCCCGCAATCACTTAATTTTATCTCTGTGAACTTTACAGCTGATACATTAAATTTCAGATGAATTGAAGGCAGTACGCTTCCTACGAATTACAAGACGTAAAACGATTATCCTTATTAAAATCAATTTTCAGCGAAAATTAATATTGTTTAACAAAATTCAATCAAAAATGAAACAAACCTATCAAAAATACGTGCTTCCTTCAGTACATTACCCAAATTTATATAAGCATCTAGAAAATTTGGGTCCAGTTGAACAGCTTTTTCAAAATGATGTATTGCAAGCCAAATTTCCCCTTGAGCATTAAAAACGCAACCCAAATTAGACCAAGCAACCGCGAATTGTGGTTGTGTTTCGATTGCTTTCAGGTAACAACCCTAAAAAAAACATTACTTCCCTTCCAATATTCAATAAGTTTCCATAAGTGGATTCAGCCGGAATTTACAAGCATATTGAATTCATAAAAAATTACAAGCTTTCTTATCTAAATCCTGTTTTATTAAAGAATTTTGAAACCCATTGTGATTTTATAATTTCAATAATTATGTCAGAAAAGCATACCTCAAGCATATTGGCCCATTATTTTTTTGTAAACCCAAACTGTGTTCATAGTAATGATAACCATTACGCACTTACCGCTGACGTTTGCGCCTTTTTAAAGACCAAAGCAAAAAAAGATACAGACTGGGGAGTTACTAGACAGATATTACAATCATGAAAGAGAATATGAGAGACAGAAAACACCGTGCAGACGATGCAACATGCTAATAAACGCGATAATTACTGATAATAATAATAATAATAATAATAATAAATAATAATAAATGGCAAATGGTAAATAATAATAATGGGCGAGAATATTGGTTTGTTTGTTTATATATTCATCCTCTCTGATTTATTCAGACATTATTGAAAATCAAGGACATTTTTTGATAGGAAATATTTTAAATTAATGTTAGCTGCATTTTTCATTTAATTCATTCATTCATTCTATAGTATCTTCTATGCATTTTCATTTTATCTTTTTTTTTCTCTACTTTTCTAATTATTAATAAAATTGAAAATCAATTTTTTTCTTTACCAAAAATTATTGATAACAAATATATTTTGAGGAACTGAGAAAAAAAACAAAAAAGGTGGAAGAAAAAGAGATGAATGAAATATTTCGATCGGTTCCTCTAATTTGGTAGCGATAGGTAACATTGTTGTATATATATATATATATGTGTGTGTGTTTACGTGTGTGTGTATGTGTGTGTGTGTGTGTGTGTGTGTG